CAGCAGAGGAAGCACTGAGATTAGTTTTTCAGATGTATTCGTTGTAATGAGATGTTGAAGTTGCGGTAAGCTCAGAAACCAGTTCACCAGAATCCAACAATGCTACAGAAAGTTGACCACAAACAGGTCTACAATGATAGCTCACAGAGTGAAAATTAGTATGTGTCCTGTAAATAATTGCCTTCATGCCTCATTGCAAATGCAGTAGTTAAACATTCTTGTCTTGTGAGTAATTTCCTATTCACAGTTTGTGGGAAGGCATAAATGTAAAGAAAACAGGTTTGGGGTCCTTTTGTTGGGTTTTTTGTTTTGGTTTTAAGTCTGCTAATTTCAATTCACGAACACCATGGGAGCCTGCAATTCCAATTTTCTTTTCACAGTATTAATGAAAACTGGGCACTGAAAATAGTCAGATTTTTCCCTTTAAATTTTAAACCACTTAGAAATACATTCAAGAATAATAACTTTCTAATCCATTATTACACAATGTAAAACTGTGCTCAATTGCTATTATTTCATGCAAAGTTTTTCGTAAGTGGTAGAACAGGCTTTTAAAAATCAGTTTCTTCTAAGCTGGTCTTTGAGGCAATCCAAAAAGGCTGGTTGTGTGCTGTTCAGAGGAAGAGTTGTGCATCAAATAAGTTGTTTTTAGAAGAGATCGTTGCACAACAAGATGACTTTTGTTTTCTCTCACTGTTATGGCATGGTCTGAGCATAATCACAGTCTTTATGATTTTCTCTTGTTCCTAATCAAACTGTCCTCAACTTATTATAGATTGTTTCAGGATTTTTTGGGATGACTTTTTATTCTTAAAAATCGGGGTCATTTTTATGACATTTAATCTTAACATTCACCTATAAGGTATTTAGCTTCTCATTTACAATAAGAAACTTTATATGGCATGAAGTTAGTGTCTTTTTGATGCTGCAGACACTAACAGAGACTGCAACCGAGTAGCAGACAAGGTTACCCACAGACATACCTCTGCTGCTATGCCCGGAGCCAATGACTCTGCCTGGTTCAGCTACCAAGATGCTAGGAAGAAAACTGCATCATGTGTTTCTCAAAGAGTTGGGAAGCAAAAAGCAAGATTTCTGTAACCTTATAACCTTCACTTGCTCTCCATTGAGATCATCTGTGGTCCCCTGCAATAGTTCCTGTCTTGCAGGGGAAAAAACTTGCAGGTAAATTCCCCTTGGGTACTCCACTCTTAGATAAACGTCCTACTTAAATAGAAGGCAGCTGTTTCAGCAATGTTATGGATTTCAGTAGAAGTGTAGGCTGGCCTTTTCCCAGTGGCCTTTTCCTCCTTGTCTCAGAATAGGACACTTGCTTCAGCATGTGCTCCATTAGCCTTTCCTACCTAAAATGCTCACAGACAAACCCATGTGCTTTGTAAAACTTTCCTCTTATTTCCTCCTCCTTCATTTGTCTTGAGAGGCCCTGCTAGGTTAAAAGAATATTTTAATGTAAACAGAAGAAAAATAGCAAGAAGTCATTTCCCTTGCTGAAGCGTTCCTTTTACAGAAGTCCAAACAAATGTAACAACAGATGCTTTGAAAATGTTGTAAGTTTAAATAACATTAATGTAGTGGTTGAATATTCCTCAGACAGATGGGATAAATGAGATAATTGTGAAAACATTCTTAAAAATACAAGGATGCCATCAGGTGAAAGGCAGGAGTTTAGGTAACATTGAAAAATATTCCTTACATGTTTTTTTAGGTTGCAATGTTAAAAGAATGTTTTCCTCTGAGCAAGCTGTTAAGTGTCATTTAGTAGACATTAATTGTAAAGTTAGTTGATGGCATTTGGCCCAAATGTCTCTATTTTAAAGAGAAAGAGCAGCTGTTTTTCCATCAGGTATTGATAGAGTTTATTCATTTGCTTCTATTATTTCTCAGACAGAAATTAATTTCCTGAAATCATACACAGTAAGATAAGACTTTGTCTCATTTTCATTCACTATGGAAATACTCAGGAGTCTTTATTCTGCAACAATGCATTGTCTCTTGTAAAACAATAAGTGACACCCTATGTGTAAAAGAATTTCCATTTTCTATAATAGCTACAATGAAGAAACAGGATCTAAAACAGTCACTGACTACTTTGAGACAGACCACATTTCTTAGTAGGGTGGCATCTACCCTGAAATGACAAAAAATCTTTGAGCCTTCTGAAGCAAAACTTCAAGATCTCTTGTGTAGTCATAGAAAATACCAATTGTACCAACTCATAACAACTAAGAACTTTCAGAGGGGGGGGTGGGAAAGTAGTTAAAATAACTATTTGACACGAATGACAGTTGAGTCTTACTGTGGTGCCTCTGTTCTTTCAGCCAAATAAAATGTCACCTTCTTTAAACCTATGTAGGATAACTGCCAGGAAGTGGTGTTTCAACAGTAAGAACACAAATCACCAATAAATAAATGACGAGTAGTACCAAGGTGGGGAGAGAACTTAGTTCTTTTTGGGGTTTGTGGCTTTTTTGCTGCATTTTATTGTTCATAGGCCAATTGTTGGTGTCTGTAGCTGTTGGCTGCTTTTAATTCTGGTTGTCCAAACTTGGCCTGATAAAGCTAACATTATGAATATATTGTAAAACTAGTGTTTAATAATATTTTTAGTTAACATTTATATTTTACTGACTGCATTTTTAGCCATGCATAATGATTTAAAATGCGGTTTCTATAAGCCAGCCTGGATGCTTAATGAGAGTGTTCTGCACTGCTCAGTGGGAAACCCTGGTTCACTCACTGCTCTTTTCTTGCTCCTGAGCTCAGCCAACGCTGGCAGTGCTGAGGGTACACAGCCTCTCAGGAGTCTGGAAATGCTGGTATAATTAGAGGAATATTGCACAGACCCAGGTCACTTCATTTTTGTCCATGACACTTGCTAAGTTACAGAAGAAGATCCATCTCAGCTATTGCCACTTAAAGAGATTCTATACAATGATCTGCCTCTCCTCCTTCTGCAAAACTCAGTAAAGAAAGGAGATAATGGGAAATGCATAAGCATTGTGTGTGCTGTGAGCATTTAACCTAGAAATTCCTCCTGGAATTAGGCTTTCATTGCACAGGGCTGTGCAAGGGGATAAAATGTGCCAGACAACACAATAGTTCCTGTCAAGAAGACTTCACAGTCTGAAGACATAGGTCAGTTCAGTTCATATCACAACTGAAAAGACCAGAGTCTGGCCTGAGAGGTGGGTTCTTAGAAGGTTGAGGCCTTGCTCTGTGCAATTTGAGAGGGTTTTTTTGGGGCATAAAGCGTTCCTTGAAGGAACGTCTGGTATTGGCGTCAATGATGAAAAGAGGGAATGGGAGAAGTTGAGTGAAAAAGTGCTCTAAAGGGTAGCCATATTCAGAGAAGACTCTGTGAATTAGAAAAGAGAAGGTAGGGTTGGATAGCTCTCTAAAAGTAATAAAAGTAAATATAATTAATGTGGAAAAAAAGAGAAGCAAAAAATATTAGAAGGAAAGGAGAAATTGAGAAGCTTGCTGAGGAAAGTCTAAAGGAGAGCTGAGGATACCTTATTTGTAGCCATCTTATTGGCTGCTGTCATTTATTATTAGGGGGAATTTTGATTTTTTTCCCCCATTCTGTTTGGTAGTCTGTCTTATCATCACTGTCTTCTCCGTAAGTACTGTAGTGTCACTTTTCGTTCTTTACTGAAGGCAAGGAAGAGAGAGGGAGGGAGTGGGACAGGGAGATCCTTTCCTCCCAGATGTTCGTATTTTGGCATTTAAATTGTGGCACACCTGTTATTCCAGATTATTTAGGCATTCTTTGCTTAATAACAGCATTTGGAGAAATTATACTTTTGAAGGCTAAAATGAGATTTTTCCTTGCTGTCCTTTTCCTTGTTTAAAACTTGTGCTGACAGACATGAAAATGGAATCGCCTGCAAACCTACATGTTTTCAGACTGGTAGAGTAGGGTACGTTAATAGGCAGTCCTGACCTAGAGAGTGCAATTAGGAAGATGCATGTCTGTAGCAGGTAGATATGATTAACTCCTCAATGTGCAAACTCAATAATAACCTCTCCCTTATTTCGTTATCTACCTACAGCAAATCCTACCAGGGCAGGAGGAGGAAGGGAGTACCCTGGCTCATCCGAGGTGATTCGTGAATCCAGCAGCACAACAGGCATGGTAGTTGGGATCGTGGCAGCAGCGGCGCTGTGTATCCTCATTCTCCTGTATGCTATGTACAAGTACAGGAATCGAGACGAAGGATCGTATCATGTAGATGAGAGTCGAAACTACATCAGTAACTCAGCACAATCCAATGGGGCTGTGATCAAGGAAAAACAGCCCAACAGCGCTAAAAGTTCCAACAAAAACAAGAAAAATAAGGATAAGGAGTACTATGTCTGATCTCAACATCTAAAAGAACGCTTGTATAGAAATAGTCTTCATTTTATCTGAGACATAATACAAACTTATTTACTTTACTTTTTATGAAGCACATTCAAAAATAAACAAACAAAAAAGACAGGGAATGCAATCAGAAAGGAAAGACTGTTTTTAAAAACAAGCATTTCATGCTCTTGTTTTTCAGAAACAGGAGCTGATAAATTCCCTAACATCCACAGTGTTTTCATTTACTCTGCCTGTCTTTATGTTGCTGGAACATTTCTGAAAGACAATGATGACACCACGCATTCATAAAGCAAGGAGTATTACTACAGCATCAAGGCACAATATGAAACAAAACAAATTAAAAAAACAAAACAGGAAAAAAAAAGAAAAAAGAAGCTACCTATGATTCTGGATTTAGCCAAAGTGCTAGTGCTTTCTTGAGAAGTAAGTTAGTCTTATTGTCAGAGAAGACTGTCATTATATATGGTGACTCAACAAGCAAACATAAAGAGTTTGCCGTCTGGTGCAGTGAAGCAGTGATTGGAAACTTGCATTTGAAACAAAGTGCTGGCTTTTCTGAAGACTTACGTAGAAATACTTTCAAAAAGCCCCTTTCTGGTTGTGAGGAAAATAGTACGGAGGCCTTATTTTCAAAAACAAAAACAAAAATCTGGAATATAAGGCACATTTCCACAAAAAAAAAAAAAAGAAAAAAACAAACAAGAGGGCATAGATGCAATCATTGGGAAATTTTCATGCACGCTTAATATGTTATTACATATGTTTATATAAAAACACATCTATATGTGCTTTCTGGACTGTGATAAGTGATGTTTTATAGCCTGTTGTATAGAAAATGCAAACTATATCTGCTCTTCAGCCATTTTTGGTAAACTCAATGTTATAAGTGTTGCTAGGTATAGAGAGTTTTATGACATCTGGAGCAACAGACATACTTCAGTTTTTTTGCAGCCATTATAAATTGTCCCAGACTTCTCCCTCCCCCCCCCCCCCCCCCCTTTTTTTTTTAATTTACAGTGTAGTGGTTATACTAAGGAGGATGTGTATGAATGTATATAAGAGTCAGCTAATTTTTTTCTTACCTGTACAGCCTCTATTCTGTTGCAATTAAGTTTTAGTAGTTTGTATGAAAGAAGTGGACTAGAAAGCAAAAATATATCTCTACTGTAATTTGTCTTCTCCCTCCTATCCCTATCTCTTGCTCCTGATATGCATCAATGAAGTTGATCAGAATGGCCAATTTTCCTAGAAATATACATTCATTAATTAGCTAAATATTTAGTGACTTAAACTGGCCTTTGGCTTCCAGTCAAAGCTTCACTATTGGAGAGCATGGTTTGCCTTACAGAAACCTTGTTCCTAAGAAATTATGAGAATGATGAGTTTCTTGAGAATCTTAGGAAGTATCATATAGTGTTTATCTGGCATTCAGTTACATGACAACAGCTACTACAGCACTGGGTGGTAAAAGATCTAAAAAGACCCATTTTAATTACCCAGGCTGATTCTACTGCAGAATTTACCCCTTTCTCCAAAAAGGAAATAATCTTGAGGTGCACGATAGTATTTTTCAATGGTGGGCATTTTGACATATGAAAAAGTATTTTTAGCTAAGTTGATTGTGTAGTATTGCAAGACATCATAACCAGACAAATAGAAGTTCATCATGTTTTAAAGTAACACATAACTTTTCTTGCATATATAAAACATTAATGCATTTTAGTTAAACATATTGAATATAATGCTGTAATTCACATCTTAAGGTTTTTTTCTAGTCTTATTTCATTAGGTTCACAGCAATAAATCATAGCGTAACATTTTATTTACACGGAAGTTCAAAGGGAATACCTTAGACAGAAAGAGGGTAGTTCAATAGAAATCAACCAAATCATTGGAAGGCCTCCTGGGAGGGATATAGTTGTTCACACCTTACAGACAGGAAGGAAGAATTTAAAATTAGCTTTAAACAGCAGGCACAAAATATTTTACTGTGTATTTTTCACTGTAGCTGATGAAGAAGGCTGGAAACTGGTACAGCTATCTATCTGGGAGTCAGAGCACTTTAAAAATACATGTAGCTGACATGAAAACACCTCTCTTGAAGGTTGCCAACCACATCGAGGTGTGTCATGTTTGTAAAACAATTTTTTATTTTCATTAGCATTTGCACAAAAATGAGAACAGGTTCACAAAATCCATCTGATGTTCATTTCTTAGATTGTTGTTCACCTGTGGCATTCATAATTTCTCCCACCTTTACAAGACAGCTGTACTTAGGGAACAGCAGGGCCGAGTATACTGGAGGTCATTGCTGGAAGTAGGAGACTTCAGCTGGAGGGGGGAAAGAAGTTGAAAGCCAGGTGGTGTTCAGATTTCAGTGCTTGAAGACACGTAGAAGAACAAGAATAATCTGATGACAGGAGACTGGACATGACAGAATATGGTTTGGGCAAGATGAAATGGTCTTTTCTGCTTGGTATTGATTGCATTAATGAAATAGCATGGTCAGGTCAACTTCCAGGCAGTTTGGTAGATTAATCTTTAACTAAATCCATACATCAAGGAAAAAAAATACCTGCTACTATTATAATAAGCAAACACAATTTTAACACTGTTTCTGAAGGTTCTCTTTTTTCCTCTTTAATTTCATAATTTAACAAAAAACAAATATGGATGTATCAGAAGTGCCAGCAAGTGGATTTAAAATTCCTTTGTGTTTAAAAACAGCAGCAACAACAAACAAACAGACATAAGCCAACTACCTAACATTAAATTGGATCCTTTCTCTATAATAACCTAATTTGTTTGACTGAGATGGCTTCATTTCTATGACTGTATTGTGTTGCCTTTTTTAACAAAACACTAAATAACATGTGAAACTTTCAACCCTAAGACATCGAAGAGAGGCCCAATGCCCCTAACCTTATAGTGCTTTCTGTGATAGATATTTACGATTTTTTTATTTGTTGCAAGGCCAATTTATTCATTATTGGAAATGCTAAGCAAGTGGAATTTACTGTTTTGTTAATAAAAATGTTTCTTAATACAAATGCTGGCTTGTTTCTTCTCTTGCTCTTAGATCTGGAGTACCTGTTCATCTTAAAGCAGTGAAAAGAAATGGTAAATTCGTATGTAGTTACAGACATTCATGTCAGGAAAAATTGTCCTCAGAGCTCTTTGTACACTTAAGTGAAAACCTTCTACAAGTCTTGTGTTCAACTGACCCAGTTAGAAAAGTATGAATTACATTAATGCATTGTTTGGTTTTGCATACAATTACTTCATTTGAAATTTTCTAGCTTTTTTTTTATATCAAGACATTAAAACTCGATGTTCCCCTTCCCCTATGAATGAAAAAAGAATTCCCTTCCTTTTCCGCCACTTTTTTTTTCCTGGTGGAAAGAAGATGGCAGAAGGTAAGGTAATTGGATGAAAAGTTAAAACTGAAAATATTTTTTCTTGTCTAGAAGATGGTTTAAAAATTAATGGAAAAATGAATGTATTTCAGGTCCTTAAAACATTCCTAGATAGTAATTACAAAATTTCAACCGGAGCTAATCCATTACATAAGTACTTTCCTATTTAGCATGGCGTTTAAATTCATGGGTAACTTCAAGCAAACATCTAATCCTATTGATTTAAGCAAGTGTCTAAAGTTGCCTAAATGTATTGCTGAATGGGGATGGAGTTAAGCTTTTGGATCTAAACTCCAAATAGAATTTAAGTATGTATCTTCTTTAATCACATCAGTAGCTTCTTTGACTTCAAGGGGATTTATTCATCTGCTTAATTAGGTATAGACTGAAGTATTTTAGATAACTTAAGTTGAGGAATATCTGGAGAAAACAGCCCCTATCTTCCATTGGTATAAAACAGTTTATAGTTAAACTTACTTTCTAAACCGCTTTATACTGGGATTAGTACTTTTGTGTGTGTGTGTGTTTTAAAATAAATACTGAACATTCCATTTAGGAAAATGCTTTATACACATTTAAAGGAGCTATAACAATAGCGATTTTTGTTCTACTACAAAACCCCCACATTTAATTATACACTTTTTAATTCTACACTGTATTTGTTCATTTTTTTCTTACATCTATACTGTGGTCTCCCTTTCACCAAAATCCTAATGGCCTCTCAGTACCTGCATCATCCATCATCAGCTAACTGCTTTAAGTGGTGGCCTCCATAATCAGTCATCACTGTGGCCAAGTAGCTAAAAAACCTTCACAGGATGAGGAAAAAAGAGAAAGAACTAAACAATCCCCCCAAACGCAACTTAGGGAAATAGAGCACACATGTAGGCTGTAAATGACAACTGTGTTTGTTAATTCCCCCGATATGACTTCTTTATAGTTCAACAAAGCAGTTTTAAATTGGGTATCTAGGTATGACTCTCTCATTGATTATAGAAATTTGCTTCTAAGTTCAGTACAGTCATGTTTAGAGGTGCTTGGAAGGATTGTGCTGGGGGAAGCCAGATTTGTCAGTACAATTTGATTTGGAACGAAGGCTATTTGCTTTATTTTAAAGCCCCCACTTTGTTAGAGTCTGTAAGTATTTCAGCATTAAAATGTTTCTGGCCCTCATGGAAGTGGGGAGAAAGAGAAATCAACACTGCATTTATATCCATTTATGAATTGATAAACGCTTGGGGATGATAAAATAGCTTGCCTGCCAGCCTCCGATTTCTCTGGATGGTCTATTCCTCCTTTGGTTGGTCATTGCTCTCCATGAAACCAGAAGTATCCCCCGCGGGTTAAGCTTTGAGCTAGAAATTCCAGAAAAGAAAAAAAAAAAAGTCATTGATACAGGTCTGCTCAGTTTTGTGAGGTGCAGGGACAGAACTCACCCAGACCTTTACCCGCTTACTTTGGAGGCTTCTTCCTACTCAAGGTCTTTGACAGACTTCAACCATCAACTCTGACTTCTGGAAAAGAAAGTATGGCCCCTCACCTTTCTCAGTTACTCACTACCATACAAATACCTTCATTTGTTGTTCAGAACAAGATTTCCATATGACAGTGCTCCTCCAGTGGGGCTGAATTATGGTAGACTTTGGGGTTTTTTTAAAGAAAAACCACGGTGACATGGGGGTAGAGTTATTTCAAAGAGCGTGGGATTCTCAGTGAGTAAATTGCCTTTAAGGACAGTAATTTCAGGCTGGCATACACTTGAGAGGTTTAAAAATCCAGGCCAGTAATCCTCAACAACATCCTTTCGGTAAACAATAAAGACATTAGCTCGTTTGTCAGTGAGCACAGGAAACGACAACACGGCTATCAAAATGTGAACGCATTGGTCTGGTTGCAGCAAATAACACAGGAAAATGGAATTTGGGCAGCCAAAAATAACCGCTGGCACGTTGGCTGGACTCTTATGACCAAGTCTGATTACAAGGCAGTAAGCATTTATTGGATGATAAATAGCAAAATACTTCTATTAGCCATAGTTGGGGATGAGGGAGGCTGACAAAACACAGGCACGGCCTGCACGGCCACATTGGCTTTTTCAGGCCCAGGGGCCCTATGGCTGTTAAGGCGCCCTCCAGCTGGGGGGACTGGGCAGGTTTTACACAAACAGCTACTGCATGCCAACTGATCGGCTGTTTCCAAATAAACCTTTCTTTTCCCTTTGAAATTAAAATACATTTTCTGGGAAAAGTACAGCAGATGATTGCTTTGTGAGACAAATTAAGTGGCTCCCAAAACATGTCGCAGCACAGCCAGCACTGTATGAAACATAAACCAGACTCTGTGGCTAGGAGCAGGCTGTGTGGCTGCAGGTCTGGGGGAGAAACCTCCGTCCTGCTCAGGAGAGCCCTGGCCTCGGGCACGATGGCTGAATGCGGTCCAGAAATGAGAGGTCCCACCTCACACTGGCAGCAGCCCCTGAGCGCAGCAGACACCTGAGCTTGGCAGCGGCTTTGTGCTCACCATGCACAGCGGTGGCAGCCGAGGGCAGGGTGGTGGGCGAGGTGCATGGGGAAACCCTGTACACCAGGACGGGCTCAGCTTGTGCTCCGGGGAAGGATAGCAAAGGCCAGGACATGAGGAAGGGCTTACGGTCCCTAATGTTGTCCCCAAAGGGCTGCCCTTGCTTTCACTCCCACTAGGCCCTGAGTTTATACTCTGCCAAAATGGTGGGTCAGCGTGTGGCGGGACCCTGTGGTTCCAGGGCCATTTTTGAGTCCACAGCAAGCAAGGGACAATGGGCAGCATCCAGCCAGTGTGTGGTTGTGCATGGCCCCTCCAGCCAATGCTTGAGACCAGGTTG